TCATAGAGTACTTAAGCTTTATGCTATAACCAATGGAGAGCTATTAAAATAGTTTTCAATAAGAAATGGAGGTGATAAAATTTGTATGTTAGAAGGATCTCCTAGGGAGCTGGCTAAAAGTAGACACAAAAGGATGAGACTGGATATATCCAGGCCAGCTGGGAGGCTATGGCAATGGTGTACAAGATAAAAGCAAAAAGACAGGTAAAGATGTTGAAGTGGGAGGTTGGATTACTAAGAGGAGGAATCAACGTGAATTATAGAGAGGAATCAAAGGTAACTCTCAGAATTATGGCTATAGGAATTAGGTAAAAAATGATATAAGAATATAAGAAAAGGAGTTGGTGTTATTTGGATTCATGTTGTATCTACATGATGTCAGGAGTTCACAAATGTCATCTGACAACCGATCCAGAATCCACTATACCCCCTGCATCATTGTTGACTCGTAGATCTAGTATTCATGCTTTGCATCTTTAATATGTTCATGCCTCACATAGGTACCGAGTGTATAATATGTCTTGGGCACTATTTCAGGTGCTGGCAGAAAAGGTGGTGAAAACCCAAGTTTTCGCTGGTAAACTGAGATTAGTAACACAACAGATGAGACCTTTCATAATATTCTTGTGAACGAAATGGGCTGATTACAGACAGCTCTGTACACTGGTAAGAGAATGGATAGCTTGTTCAATGTATACTGACTAGGGAACTGCTATTGTCTTGAAGAATGGTCTCACCTAAGTTTGGTGGTCCTCTGGCTACTTCTTTTTCAACTACCTTATTAATTATGTGGATAAAGATGGAGGAAGCATGCTCATCATGTTTACTTTTAAAAGGGTGAGAGAAATATGAAAACAGTATCCATAATGATTTTGGATAAAATCTGGATAAAAGAGGTGAGCCCAGGGATGCCTGGGTGGCTCAGTCCGTTAAGCGTCTGCTTTCAGCTTGGGTCAGGATCCCAGGGTCCTAGGATCAAGTCCCGAATCAGGCTCCTTGCCTCTGCCTGCCACCCCCCCTGCTTGTGCCCTTTGTCTCTGACAAATACATAAATAAGATATTTTAAATAATTAAATAAATAAAATCTCTTTAAAAATAAAATAAATAAAAAAATTAAAATAAATAAAAATTAAATTAATAAAAAAATCTTTAAAAAAATTAAATAAATTAAATAAATAAAAGAGGTGAGCCCAGATACAATTTAACAAAGTAATTATGAACTTGTATTTGGGGGAAACACACTTGTACAAGCACATGAGTGGAATAATGAGACAGTTAAGAAGCGAACCTTCAGTTTATTTGTAGAAATGTAGTCGATGAAGGAAAAATGCTGAAAGCACCAGTGTGTTCCTTTTGGAAGAGGCCACGGAGAGGACGTGGCAGCCAGTGGACCCATGAGCTGGCTGCAGGCAATCAGAGGCTTGTCACCCCCTCTCCTGTCCTTGGAACGTACGTTCTGCCCATGGTTCCCACAGTGGGAATCATTTTCGAGGACACGGCCTTGAGAGAGCCCTGTGTTGTTGAGACCATCTGGATGGTGTACGTGACTGAACACAGTTAAGGCCTCTATATCAATGCTTAAGATTCTGGCAGGCAGGTGTGGAGATCTACGTGTCTTGCGGTTGCCCAAGACAAGCCTTGTCAGGAAGCTCTTTTGCTTATTACACCTGCCCCCTACCAATCTGGAGGGGCCTGCCTCTTTCTCAGGCTCCCCTTACCATCTGTGTTCGGGGGCCATTTTATGAAACAAAAGTTCCACTCACGTCAGACCACACCTCCTTCATGGTCTCACTTGTGCATGTCCCACTTTACAGAAGCATCCGCACCAGATACAGCAAAAGCACTCAGGGAATCAGGGTATCGAAGTCTTGAAGTTGTTAACACATGAGGAAGAGATGATGTGAACGAGAATATTTATCTTGAGAAGTGGAGAATTATTTGGGGTGTATGTAGACAGGTGGTGGGACTGGGAAACACACACATTATATCTTAAAATATTTTAAGTGAGTCTCATGGCCAAGATATTATTTTAAATGACCTCCAGGAGTAGATTTGAAGTCAAGGGGTGAGAATGTCAGAACTGCTCTCAGAGAGAGATGTGTTCCCCTTAATTTTTGTTTTCTTCTGGGTCTGCCTAATCATTCATCAGGTGTGTTGTACATCATCAAAAAAATTAATCTTGGACCATACGACCTTTAAAAAAATCCCTTGAGCCCTGAGATTCTATGATTTTTGTGACCTGAGGACTCAAGGACTATGTTTAAAGACTAGAATGCTTTCAATCCTTTTGAACTTGATTTCAGATGCTGGAAGTCCTCCCGCCCAGCATCCAACTCAGGCACCCTCCACTGTGCATCCAAACCACTGCCTTTTCCCTAGCGCCGACCCGAGGTCTGAAAGGTCGGTGAGTAACTCAGGACCTTCCAGGCAGAAATTGGACTCTGCGCCCACCCTCGTTAGGATGCACGTTCTTGAGGTTTCTGCACTCCAGGAGAGAGGAAAAGTAGGCACTTCCAAGGCATTTAGTACTTTGGCAGAAAAAAGAAAATAAAAGTTTGCTAAAAGGAGAAAATTTTAAGCTATTCGTTTTATTTTGACAGAGTTTCTGTGGGTCCAAGACTTTCTACTGAGTCACCAAGCCAGCCACGATATAACTATTTCAACTTACTGAGAGTATTATTTCTGAGTCACAGCAAAGTAATATAATGATCTGAACACGTAAATGCTTTCTGTCACCTAGTACATCCGATCTTTACTTCACAGCTGCACACTCAGTAATGATGATATTCCTCGTTGCACACCACACTGTGTGAAAATACCATAGGGTAAAAAAAAAAAAAAAGTGTCTAATTCATGGAAGAAATGTTCAAACACCAGGTCCCTATTTCACAGCGATTCCTTTTCCCCCTCCAAAAATACGCAAAAAGTAAGTAAGACATGACTCATTTGTTACAAGTCCCATGTTTTCCCTGCAAATTCCTAGTCAGGTTTTGGAATTGATGCTTCCTTTCTACTATTCCCATATTCTCTGAGTCACCAAGGTTTTTAGATGTTGGCAGGAGAGCCTGTTCCTATGTCCTCATAGGGTTCCACGTGGCTAGGAAGGAATATCATGCTGGAAGTTGAATCAGGAGTGAGTGTAAGTACTACCCTTAGATCTAGGCATCCATGGCCCCAGCCTGGGGCCCTGTGCTTTTCAAGGCTTCTCAAATTATGAGGTGCAAATGGATTTCTTAGGATATTGTTAAAGTCACCCTGTGATTCAGTAGGTCTGGAGTTGGGCCTAGAACTTGCATTTCTAACAATTTCTGTCTCTCCTCCAGACACGCCCCCTCCCCATAGGATGAGTAGTTCACGTGACCAGGGGAACCTGCCACCCAGAGCCTATGTCACTCCCTCCCAACCACACGCCGAGTTATCCGGCACTCCAGAATTCCCTGTCTAGATCACTTTCTGGCCAGTGCACACACTTCCCTGGTCTGTCCTCCCGATGGCAGATCCCCTCAACAGCACATAAACCCCTGGGTTTAAGGGTTGACAAAGTGTGAATCATTTGGAGGAGGCTTAGCTATGCGGGCTAGCGTGTGGCCCATGCCCCCCTTGTACAGATGGAGATTGGGGAAGCAGGAGAAAAGGGTGGGTTCTGTTCCGAGGAACTTCTTTGTCTTCTTGCCTCAGGAGGCAAATGCTGGGGGTAGTCTTATGTCTGTTTGTGTAAGTAACAGGAAGAAATCCCATCCTTTTACAGCTTATCTGGATGTTAAAACCACAGACCTGCAGCTTGGATGGTTCTAGTTGGTGAGGAACTTTGCATCTAAAGTGCTTAGAGCAAAGAAAGAACATTTTCTACCCTTTAATGCAACACTCCACGACACTCCCCGGGGTGACCACACAGTGTAGGAGACAGTGTATGGGGCTTTGAGGGTCCCACAGCCTTCAGCTGAACCCCCACTGTAACTTCCTACGTGAATCTGAGCAAGGCAGTCACTTTGAGCAAGAGGTCATTCTTTGCCCTTGGTTTCTTGAGCTTTATCACGGGAATAAGAATGCTTCCCTACTCTTCTACCGCTTCCCCATATGCACGCAAATTACTCCTCTTCATCCCTCATCCTTTAGCTCAAATGCCACCATCTTGAGTAGATCAGGCACCTCCTGCTAAGCTGGAAGTAACTTTATTCCTCTTTCTTTGCGCTTTGTCCTTTTGTATTTGTATTTTTGATGAATGTCCACTAGCCCCCTGGCTTCCAAGAGCAGGGATCATGTCTCTTGAATTCTCTAGTTGTGTCCTCTCCATCTGGTACACGGCCTGGCACCTGATAGATGCGAAACCTGTGTTTGCCAAATGAGTAAACGAGTGTGTGGTTGTTGTTAAAATTAGAGATAAAATACACTAAGTGCCTGGCACAGAGTAGGTGCTTAATCAGTGACACTGATGATTTTTCAGTGCAGTCAACACCATAATCAGACATTTTATTTTGTTTCTTCATACTCTCTTCATGGGGGAGAATGGGGTGAATCTGGGACAACTACAGTTTGCACCATCCAAGACAAGAAGAAAAAAATGTGATGTGATAAAGTCCTGGCCCAAACAGCCAGGAGCATGACATACTTTTTAAAGGCTTAAGACGTGAAAGATCCATCATTTAAAAGAGAATAAAAAGTACAAGAGAAAGTTGTATTTGTCCATTGTGCTTGCCGCCCCCCAACCACTCATACCCCAAGCAGTACACCTTCTTACAAAGCCTCTGGTGAAAGTAATTCCCCACCCAATTGCTCACGCCCACATTATCACCAGCCGCCCCCTTCCCCTTCACATCTAGGGGACTACTTTATCTGTCTCTTTAATATCAACCAGCCCAAATATTCCCTTGTCAAATATTTCTGGGGCCTGCACTTGAAGAAAGAGACGATTTTCCCAAATCTGTGAACAGGACCTTTTTTTTTAATGTCAAAATAAACCATCTGCTTGTACAACTGTTTCTAATTACTTCCCTGCCTAGACTCTGCACTTGAGGGGTTTGGTACCAGCACCCCGCCCAGAGCGGTGCCGCTGCCCAAATCCTTGCAGGCAACTCATCAAGGCACTCGCAGCCCCGGGTAGAGGCCCGACCAGGGGGTGTCTGTGTGTCCGTCTGCAGGCGGCCTGCGGGTGGCACCTCTCCCTGCCGCGGCCCGCCGCCCCCCCCACCCCTCCACCGGGAGCCCCACCCAGCCAGGAGCGCAGCTCTCCCGCACAGCGCCGGAGCTCAGCATGCGTCCCGCCGCCTTCAGGAACTTCTTGCTGCTGGCGTCCTCCCTTCTCTTTGCGGGGCTCTCAGCTGTTCCTCAGAGCTTCTCACCATCTCTGAGGTAAGTCTGGTTTGTTACTCTTTGAGAGGAACCTGCCCTGCTTTGCGTGGCAGGGCTCAAGTCTGTAGGATGGCTGCCCCAAGCCAAGCGCAGTTAGAAAGTTGGACCCGGGATAAACTGTTTTCAACCTGTTCCTATTCCTTTCCGTCTATCTGCACTGCGTGTTGCTTCATGTCTGTCCTTTTACTTTTCCTTCGGGAAAATACCGTGAACAAATATAAATATTTAACTTCCTCCTATTTTAATACCGACCAGGAGAAACTTCTGCCATGAGACTAAGGTAATCCTTTGTGTACCTGGGGTGTGCTCATACCCTATAAGGCAGAATTATTTCACAGGGTCCCTATTACATTATTGTATTGCATTTTGAAAGAGACTGTGGGCCACATAATGATAGCTAAACTTTTTAAAAGTATAGTTTATAAGCACTGCTCAATGCAACTTTTAAAAAAAATGCCCTAGACTATCCTAACATGTATGGTTCTTCCTACATATTCACCTCTTCTTTTTCATAAAACGGCTGCCCCTGGCCATCAGCTAGCAATGGGACTTTTTAAAGAGTACTGAAAAGTCAGCCAAATGTCATACTTTGCATTCATTTGCATTTAATCTAAATGTGCATATAAGATTCAGTGGCAAGCCACCAAGAGGCAGGGCTGGATCACCTCCGTCCACTCGGAAGGCAGTCCTGTTCCTAGGGGTGCAGGTCACCCCTCAGACATTTTGGGTCGTGGTCATTTCTCTTGTGGTGGACCATGGGTGGCCCCCAGAGGAACGTGGAACCTCAGACTTTCTTCCTGTGAAGCTGAACGTCGCCACACAGGGGTGCACTGGGGGGGAAACGGGGACTCCTTAAATGGGGGCAGTGTCCGCTCTTGACCGTGGCCCTGCTGTGGTTTGCCGCCCGTGCAGGAGTGCGACTGGTGCCGCGTGCAGGCTGTCCCGGGCTGAGTCGGAGCGCAGGTGCCGGGCTCCAGGGCAACCCCCAGGGGGCGCTCTGTGCCACGGCCGCGGCCGGTGCGACTGCGGGGTCTGCATTTGTCACGTGAACGAGCCCGGCGTGTACTTCGGGCCCCTGTGTGAGTGCCACGAGTGGGTGTGCGAGACCTACGACGGGACCACCTGCGCAGGTAAGGGGCAGCCGGCGCACTGCGGGCGTCTGGGCGTCCGGGGCGCACTGCCGGCGGGGGTTTCTGCCACTTCCCGGGGAGAGCCTCGGACGGACCTCTGGGAAGTGACTACCTTCGCACAGGGCTTCCTTATGCTTCTCCACTCTGGAATCACGTGTTGCAATACTTTACTCCGCCCTAGGGTCCAAACTGAAGTGGAAATAATATTGGTAAGATTCACTCACTTAATTATAACTCTCCTTATTACAGACTAAACCTCCCAGCTTCCTCACAAAGGAAGTCAATCTGGTGGGCTCCTCTACCCCAATCACGAATATTAGTCATATTGGCAGAACATAAGCCTGGATTTTCTTTTTACCAAGGAAAAGCAGGAGAATATTATTTTCCCAAATTCCAGGGTGGGGGAGCAGGTTGTGTCTTTGATTTGCCTTCTTATTCTTAGGATATAGTTCACTGATAGAAGTGTGTATCAGAAAACGGTAACAAGGAAAAAAATAAGCAGATCCATACTTACTTAGAAGCGATTGCTTTTGTATTGGTTTAGCTGCTGGAAATTTTCAGCTGCAGTGAAACTTGGTATTTTGTAAGGGTGCAGTAAAAATAAATTCATTTCTCTAGTACATTTTTAGGGAGTGATTGAGGTTGTGATATTGGAATGGGTCATGGTATTTCTTGGTAGAGAACAGCCCTCGCCTATACCAGTTTCACAGGAACATGCCATTTGCTAGGGCCAGACCCTCGGTTGGGTCACTGTGAATGATACAGGCACTCCGTTAGTAAAAGGACAACACGATTCATTCCAACCAGGGTTTGGCAGATTTGTAGGGGGAAAAAAATTCACAACATATTTTACCCAGGATATCGTTAAGAGTAAGAGTCCAACACTAACAGAGGTGAAGAATGAGTTTATAGCAGAATGGTTTTTTCTTGGCCCCTGGGCCCAGAAATGCATAGTGAGAGTATTTAATATGAACACTCCTTAGCAGTGGAAAGTAATCATGTCAGTAATTTGGAGGGGCACAGGTGCTTCTCTGTGGTTGGTTTACCCTGTGAAGGCTGGGGCTCAACCCTTTAAAAATACTGAACACCACAGCTCGTTATTTTAATGTCGTCCATCCCACAGGCTGCAGTATTATTAAGGGCAGCCCTTTGGAATGAAAGCTAAGTATTGTCTAATATTTCATTCCAAATTTGACTGTTACCTGGCTTCTCTGGCTTGTACTGCCTCTGGCAAGGTCTCTTCAATATCATGAGTTCCGAACACATTTTTTTCAGGGCATTTTTGAGTTGTTCTTTCATTGGAAAAGTAAGAGGTAGGATGCAGTCTTCAGCTGGTGAAACTAGTTATGGGTGCCATCAGATAAAACTACCCCATTGAAGAAGCTTGTCTGGGTCCTTTCTGTAAAGCTCTGCCTATAGTGCTCTTGTTGGTCCCCCATGGAAAGTGATTTGTTGTTTACTCTTAACATCTTAGTCACTGCATTCTTTCCTCCCTGATACAAATGCAGGACTGAATCATGCATGGTTTTGTTTGCATATGTACACATTCCCATGGATGGCAAGATGCTTCTCTTTATTTCAAGGCTGAATGAAATACCTGTGTTCGTTTTCCATTCTCCTCTTTGTGGCTGATGCCCATCAAGGCCTGCTCCACCGGGCCTGGTGCGGGATCTGCCCCTGCAAATGCTCTGAGAACATTTGCCAGGCCAGTGAGATCTTTACACACAGCACGGTGGTGGGGCTACCGCGCCAGCTTGCCTACTTGTTCTGTGCTTCAAATGTAGCTTCTCAATTCTGCCTTCAAGAAAAAGTTCCTATGTTGTAGCTAGTAAGACAGAAACATAGCAAGTTGTCTTCTATGTTTTTATGTGCACCTGGGCCTTTACCTCTGTGGTGTATTCTAGTAGCCTTCAGGGACCTCCATACCCCTTTGAGGAAAATAAAATCCTGCTCTGATAGTGTATCATAGAGTGGTTAATACTCTGGGCTCTGGGGGAAAATTTCCGGGAGTCAAATCCCAGCCCCACCACGTAACAGCTGTGTGAACTTGGGTGATTACTGAAACTTTCTGAGCCTCGATATCTTCATCTATAAAATGGGAATAACAACAATACCTACCTTACAGGATGGTTGTGAGCTCTGACACGTAAAACTCTTAGAATAGTGTTTTGCACAAAGTGCTCAATACATATAAATATGTGTATAGACATATAACATATTATTGTAGATGCACAAAGGTGAGCTAGGATGGGTGGATGGATGGACAGATGGATGGATAGATAGATAATAGATAGCTTAGCTTTGTAGTTGTTGGACATTTGATGCAGTGAGAGCAATTTTCTTAATGTAGCCTGCGCCTGTTATTGATCCAAAGCTCAAAAGGTTGAGCAAGGATAGCTCTTTTGGCCCAGCCTCAGAGCAGCTCTATTAGATACACCATGCCCTTTTAAAGTTGGGATAAGAATCCACTGGGATTCTTATACTGTGAATCATAAGAAAGATACTTGTTTTAGTTTGAGCCTGGTCGAAAGTGATTACATTTATATTAATGTATAACTAATGTATAATCCAGTGTCTCCTTGTTCATGGCACATGAATTTCCTTGGACTTCTATAGTGTAAAGGTCTGGCCCAGAGATTATTGCTGTGTGTGGGGTGGTCAAATGAGAAGTAAACTAATTTGGGTGGAATATTTCTTTGAGAAGAGTACAGTGTTTGGTTACAGAAGAACAAACTTTCAGCTAATATTGCAAGGCATCCCTGAGTAACCCCCTGAACAGGTATGATTATACTTAAATAAAATATTGTGTTCTTTTAAGATCTTTTCTAATCACTTTTGAAATATATCACTTAAAAGAGTTTCAGTTTTAGTGACTAGGAAGAGCTAATTAAATTAAACTTAGCAAATATTTATGAGGTGCTGTATATTTACTAGACCCTCTGCTGTTGAAGGGATATAAAGATGAGACAATATAACAACTTCCCATTGAGTAGGGAGATGAAAATACCAAATACCCCTATAATGCAATGCAGAATATCATTTCTACAAATTTCTATGAGAGTTTTATTGAGGCAGGAATTAAATATTGTGGCTAAAGTTCTTGAGAAAGAGGTAGCCTTTGATATAAATCTTTATGCATAGGGAGGTTTTTAGTTCCAAAACGTGGACTGTTGGAATTCTGAGGGAAGAAAAATCCAAGCAGTGGTTTAGAGGCAGAAAGGCATGTGGTGAGTGTGTTTGGGGACCAGTGAAGTATTCTAGGTTTGGCTTGGCTGGATCTTAGGGCTGTGGGGAAAGTAGTTCTAGATATTTTGAGTTACAGTTGCACACGTTGTTGAGAGCTCTGAATTTGAATGTGAAGTTTGTGCTTATCAGAGCCATGAAGTGGTTTGAACATGGGAGCTTTGATTAGTACTCTGACTCATGAAAAGTAACAGGGTAGGGTGCTGGAGGGCAGGGGAGGTTGGGGTAGACACTTGATGGGGAAGAGCTCAGTTTAGAGACTATTTCAATTCTAGCCCATGGGAGAGAGTAAGATAGAACAATGATGAATTTTAAAGACTGTTGAAGGTACAATCAACATGCTTTGGAACCCAAGGATGAGTAAGATGGTCAATCAGTGATTGGGTGTATGAGAGAACTGATAGAGTAAGAGTCAGGAGAAAGAACCAGATAACTCCTAATCAGTGGCTAAGACTCTTTACTAAGGAAAAAAAAATGCTTATTTTTAATCTGAAATTGCTATAAAATGAAGAATTATCAGTAGCAGAATGAGTCTGGACTTGACTGGCTATGGATCTAGGACTAGATGGATCACGTCTGAACTGTTAACTTGGGTTCAATTGCTTGTATCCTTAACCTTGAGCCAGTCATCTGATTCCTCTGAAACTTAGATTCTTTTTTTTGTAACATCTTTATGGATATAAAGAACCTTGCATCCTGCATTGTATTATTCAGAATAATTTTTATGTGTATGTATAAATACATTTAATATCCATGTAATTATGCATTCATACATTTATTCAGACTATGTATAAAACATTCTTATAAACATTGATTTATGTACATAAACATACACAATATAAAAATAATTAAAATACATGGAAACACCCCTAATATATATTAACAATTTTTTTCTTGCAGATATTTCTGACTTTTACACTGCTAAATAAATAGTATGAGAATTGCATGTGATTATTCATGAGAACTGGAATTTCTGGCTCTTTATAGTCTGTCTTAGGACTGATTTGCTTTTCCTCACAGTGGTGTTTTTCTTGAATAGTTGAGTAATTCCCTCCAAGCCTATTTTGCGGAATCACTCTTCGGTTTTTCCTTTCTTAGTTATTTTCCATTTACAACCTTCTCCGCCTTCCTTCAAACCATATTCTATCCTACTTGCTCCCTCCTTTAACTCTGTTCAGCTCCCCTTGGTACTTCCCATTTTGCTTCTTCTTTATATCCCCTCTGCGCCCCTGCATGGGGCACCACACACGTAAGAGCACTGTCTGTTCTTTAACACCCCGTCCAGTAAACGATTGTGTTGAACAGACTCACTCCAGTTTCCACATCGCTTCCATTCATGTGTTTTCATCATGGTCTTAACATGTCCATAGTTTTGGAGAACACACTCAGGAGTTCCCTACCACCAGCTCACCCCCTTCATGCAGGCCTCTCTTTTTTTGTGAATTCTACTCTCTTAAGCTCATCCATTTTGGATAAATGCACCCTGTCTTACCTCAAGTGACACATAAAAATTAAAGATTTTCATCTGCACTTTCTCTCAACTGTACTGCTTTATTTGGACCCAATACTCTGCTGTTCTACTGTAGAGACTGAAATACCTTGTCCTTGGACTTGGTCACCCCCACACCTTGATAACCTAGAAGAGCGTATTTATAACGTTAGGGTGTTTAGATCAGATAGTGTCAATGTGAGAGGTTCAGTGGTTATTTTTCAAGTAGAATTTCCCCAGAAAGAGAAGGGAACATCTGGGAGCAAAC